CACATGAGAGACTGTAGCCCACCAGAGTTGAATGTATAAAAGCCAGAACCAGGTAAGGCAAAAACCTATCAGAGAAGGAAAACTGAAATATTTTCCATTATCAAAGTGATTCCATTTTTACCTTATCAAAGTGAAACACTTGTAAAACCTGCAAAAACAAGGCAGACCCCACAAGTTCTAATTCTCGCAGATTTCACTGTAATATTCTCTGCTTGATTCCTAAAAGCCACCCTTGTCATTTTTCTCTGGTCTTGCACAAAAAGAAAGGAGTCCTGGTAGGTTCCATGTTGGGCTGCTAACCACAAGGTCAGCATTTCGAATCCACCAGTTGCTTCTCTGGAAAAAGATGAGACTTCCTGCTTCCGCAAAGGTTTCAAGCCTCAGAAACCCTATACAGGCTGTCTGTAAGTTGGAATAGACTGAACAGCACCCAGCAGCAAGCACCCAAAGAGAGGACAGTCACTGTCATGGAAGGACATCTCTATATCACCTTGCTTCTCAAAAGCAGAGACCTCATATGGGTTGGACCTTGAGATCACAGGAGGTGTGGAAAACAGACTAGTCAGAACTTTCCATCCCAGGAAACAAGAACGAGCTGTTAAAATTACTGTTGTCTCTTCTAAATTAATAAGAGTTGTACTAGATGCCTGACCACAACTGACAGGCTTTTTTTTTTTTTTTTTTAAATGTCAGGGTTTTTACTATTTAATACAGCAAGTATTCAAGATGAACCTGAAAAACAGGTTTTGACTCTACTGTGTGAAGGAAAGGGTGAAATATCAGCACCTGGGTTGAGCATTATACAACAAGCTAGAACTTGTGCTCCAGTTGGCATTATTGAACTTTTACCCTACTCTGTATAGTGTGTTAGGGTTAGACTTACTGCAGAATGAGAGAATATATAAATTTAAAAAATATAAAGTAGATAAATGGGAGTGGTGGGGTGGGCTTGGACCGTTGATACTTGCAAACTTTGCTGCTTACAGGTGCTATTATGCAGGCCAGGAATACTGCTGGGACCAAACAGAATTGGATTTTGGAAGTATCATTTGGTCCTACAAAGTGTAAAACACATGTGGTTTGTGAACAGAATGCTGTGGTTATGTTTAAACCACACCTGGTGGCTGGAATCCAGCCTTCAGTTCCTACCACTGGACTTTGTTCATGTGGAGAATTTTGTGTGTCTGCTGTGGAGATTGGTGAGGGTATGAGTAACTTTTCCCCTTTGCTGCCTAGGTTGTTTTTGTTTTTATGTTGATTTTTTTTTTTTAATGTAATACTTAAGTGCTAATGCAAGAAATACAAATAACAGTACTCTATTGTAAACCCCTCTCAACTCCTTATCCTATTCCCAGGGACACCTCCTTTCATTGCTTATCTCTGACTTTACTTCTAAATTAGCATGCATATGCTCTTTTTCTCTCAATTTATCAAATTTAGACTTCTTAATTTGGATAGCGAGGATTGGCCTTTTACACGACAAGTTCTTACTTCAGCTTCCCAACATCCCAACAATTACTGATATCATAATTACATAAATAATGTATATTTCTGAGCAAGTAGTGTGATTTGGTGGTGGTGGTGTGCCATGGAGTCGGTTCCAATTCATAGAGACCTCACATAGGGTTTCTGAGGCTGTAAATCGTTATGGGAGCAGATAGCCTCATCTTTCTCTTGCAGAATGGCTGGTAGTTTGAAACTGCTGACCTTGAGGTTAGCAGCCCAACTTGTAACCACTACACTACCAGAGTTTCTTACTCTGGAGTAAATTTTTAAATAATCTCTTGTTTTGTCTTTATCCGTGTTTTTTTGTTGTTAGTTATGTTAAAGTGTACTTGTCATTAGTTTTCCCAAAATTCCTGTATAGAATTGTCAAACTTCATGTGAAAATCACGTAAATAAATTATGTTCAGTTTTTCCTGGAGATCTCCCATCTTTCTGTTCCAGCGTGGACTGGTTGTTGTTAAGTGCTGTTGATAGGGTTTCCCAGGCTATAAATCTTTGTTGATCCTTTAGCAAATTGGGATGTTCATGTATATGCTATTAATCAATACCATACAGTTTTCATTGCATATGCTCTTTAGGCACAGGCCTGATGATTACACCTTCCCCTCTCCTATGATGGAGTGTCCTTTCTTGTATTGTAATAGTTACCTTCTGAGGAAAGAGTACTTTGAAAGCATATATTTTAAGGCTTTGCAATTCTGAAATTATTTTTATTCTTTCCTTACACTTAATTAATACCTTGGTTGGATATAGAATTAAAGATTGCAAAGTCACATTCCTGGAATATTTAAAGCATTGCTTATTTATCTTATAATTTGTGGGTGCTTTTAAGATCTTTTGACCCCTGGTGCTCTACAGTTTATAGTGTGCCTTGGAGTGGGCTATTAAGTCTTCCATTTTGTGTACAGAAGCAGAAGCCTGCAGGGGTATGTTCATCTTGAAACCTAGTTCAGCATGTTCCCCAAGTTTCCAGGGTTCTCCAGACTTGCTTCTCATTTGTGTCTCCTTCTCTCAAGGGGCTTAGATGCTAGCTTTCTCTGCCTAGTCAAAATTTGTTTCAAAATTTTGTCCTTATGGGTTTCTGCATTTATTTTAGGAATAAACAGATCTATTTTTATGCTCACAATGCCCTATTTTCCTTAAAGAATTTTTAATCCTATCTTTAGGAAAATTGGTTGTCTCCAGAAAATATCTAAGTTTTAAAATTCATTTAATTTTTTGAACAGGTAATATGGTTCAAAACCAAAAAGAAATTAAAAGTGTCAAAATGGCACTGAAGCCAGCTCGAAGGGGCTCCACTGGCCAAGTCTGGACCATTGGAGCCTCCACATCAAGAGTGATGGTGACTGACTATGGCCCATTGACTGCATGCAATGGGAACTCATGGGTCCATGCTGATAGCAACGAACAAATAAGTAAATGGTGGAAGGAAAAGGTGTTTCTGTACAGTAAGTAGATTGCTAACTAATAACTGTAGGAGGAATGGCTAAAGTAGAAAGTCACCACTTAGCAACCATCACAGTGGCAAAACATCACCTTTATTGGGTTATTAGTCTTGAGTACTGTCTAAATCCCATACTACCAGATAGAAAACAGTGAGAAGAACACAGCACCCACTGATATTTCCAAGATGTATAATCTGCAGCCCATCCTGGGGAGACCAAATAAACCCAGACTGGGCTGGGGGATGGTGACCCAAATGACTGGTTGATCATCTCCAGCATATCCATCAGGAAAGGTTGAAGAGGTTTGAAATCACTTCAGAGGGGGTAGGGAGAAGGCATCCAGTGAAAAGTCTCTTAATTGGTCTCTAACCTATCCATTGCCCCAGCCCCTTTATCAACAGACTTCTGGAGTGTCTCTGCATAGACCAATAAGTAATACTTTGAGAAAGACTTGTACTATTTTGCACCTCTCTCCCTCACCCCACCTTACCTTAATATATATTGATTCATTTTTTAAACCAGTACATAAAACCCAAAAAACCCTCATTCTTTTCGCATGATTTTGGTTTTTACTATTGTTGGTAGTGTCCTATAGTGGTTTCCATGACCCTGGATAGGGTTTCCTAGGAGTGACTGGTGAGTTCAAACTGTGCAAGCCTTTAGCAGTCCAATTCTTACAGCTTCTGCCAGGACTTCCAATTTTACTTGATAGGTAGAAAAAAATCCTAAAGTTCCTGGTTGTGTTTTGGTGGGGGGGAGGCAAAACAAAACAAGTAAAGGATTTAAGCGTCCACAGAATGACCAAGCACTTACTTTAGTGGTCAGAGCATGAGGCCTCTGGGACGCTGTAACTTCTTTCCCCTGCTCCCTCAAGACCAATTTTCTCCAGGCGCAGTGACCCTTCCTTCCTGTGAATCTTGAGCCTGGTCTCTGATACTGTGATACTGGCTGATGTGATCAGTAACCCCAGCATTTATGTTGGGTGGAAATAAAAGTAGCAATGTGGGACAGACCACTCATGCTTCTTGTGGTGTTAGTGCCATCGAATCAATTCCAACTCCTAGTGACCCCATATAGGGTTTCCAACGCTGTGAATCCACAGGAGCAGAAAGCCTCCTCTCTCCCATGGAAGACTGGTGGATTTGAACTGTGTCTGGCAGTCCAGTTCTTATCTAACAGTGCTACCCATGAGGAGTCCATGAGCAACGTGCTCTAGGGATGATGCAACTATGGCCTTATTTCTGCTGGAGGGTGTGTGACAATGGATTCTGTCTTCCTAAAACAAAGACTGGATTGGAGCCTAGGCTTATTGGTGGCTTATGGGCTGGGGCTGGGGCAGGAGTTGGGTGTATGCTTATTAGACTACCCTGCTGTGCTCTCGGGGGCCCTACAAGCTAAATGGCCAAACTCTAGCACTTGAGTGAAAACGGACTTCTCCTTACTGAAATCCTGTTACAGGTTTCTGGTTTGTGTAACAGAGTGGACTTTGTTCCACTCTGTATGTGGGGTTGGGACCCTTGATGGGATGGTGGCTCTTTAGGGTTGTTCTTGCTGGCTCCTGGAAACTGTTAGACTGTAGAGAAAATCAAACATTAATTCATTTGAAAGCAAACATTTCAAAAGGTAAATATCCCCTCTACAAGTGTGTGCATGTGTTTTAAAGTGTCATTCATATTTAGAATAATGGCATGTTTGATGGAACTTAGGAATCAGGTTCTGCTTCATAAAAAATTCAAGTCTTTAAAAAAAAAAATCCAAATCTGTCTTAAGATTTCCAATTTCTCCATTGTAAGATTGATTTGGGGGCAATTCACTTGAGTGGCTCAATATGCAAGGTTCCTTTTTCTGTTGCTTGGGAACTAGAATTGAGTACTCTCCTGAACTGTGAGGTTAAGAAAGAGGTAACAATATATGAGCACATACTTGGGTGGGTGGTCTTTGAATTGCTTCTGCAGTGCTGACAGTGAGGCAGCACAGAGATGGAAACCTGTGGAAAATCTTGTCTTTTCAGGTGTCTCTAGCCAGTGTTGATTTCACCAGTCTGCAAGCATGGGGAATATTTTTGCTAACCTCTTCAAGGGCCTGTTTGGCAAAAAAGAAATGCGCATTCTCATGGTTGGCCTGGATGCTGCAGGAAAGACTACTATTCTATACAAACTGAAACTCGGCGAAATAGTAACCACTATTCCCACTATAGGTAAGAAGTCCAACCCTTCTCATTCTGGAACAATCTGGGGGGCTTCTGTCCAGTGACAGTAGCAGGATAGATAGATTGGAGTAGGGCTTTGTTGTAAGCGGGTTCAGGAGGTAGCTCTATTAAAAAGCTGAAAATTGGGAGGAACCTTTCGGAGGAAATTTGCAATTGGGAGGGACCTTTGTGAGGAAATGAGTGGACAGCAAGGACTTGCCTTGCTACTGCCACTTAGTCTGATAGTGCTCTTCAAAGGCACCCAGCCTTCCCCTCCTCAGTGACCTTCTTGTGGGTAAAGAGGGTCTTTTGTTTAAAAGATGAAATCTTCTATAACTTTTTGATAGCTCCAGCTTGGCATAGTTGAGGCAAAGAAGATGCTCACCTTTCTATCTTTTACTCACTCCTCAGGTTTCAATGTGGAAACTGTTGAATACAAAAACATCAGCTTCACCGTGTGGGATGTCGGCGGCCAGGATAAGATCCGGCCACTGTGGCGCCACTACTTCCAGAACACGCAAGGTAAGCAGCTGGGGCCTGGTCCAGTAGGGCTACTGGGCCCAGAGATACAGGCACATGGTGTGCATTCTCCTCTAAAGAAGAAACCAGGGCCTGTTTCGTAGGGAAGTGCTTGTCAGCAGGCTGGAATTCAAATAGGTCTAAGAAAGGTTTTTGTTTTTTGATTATTGTAGTAACTCACATATATGAGCCCTACCCCCATGTTAAATGCTGTAATGGTTGATCTCAGGTAGTCCTCAGAACAGCCCTAGTAGGGCTGGTGCTATCATCCTAATTCTACAGATGAGGAAACAGGCATAAATGCTTCACGTTTTTAAAAATTACCATCCTGGGAACTCCCATTATTGGGGTTTAGAATGGTCTGTCTGGCAGCTACTGAGACCCATGTCCTCTCAAGATTCCCAGGAGGATCCCAGCCTGCTCCTTGTTTGTTGGTTGCCTGCATTATGCCTCTCTCCCCCAGAAGGTGCCACTGCCTTTTTAGAAAGGAGAGGTATAGTGGGCCTACTTGGGCACAGTCCAAAGAATGGGCAACCCTGTTGGGGGGTGATCATGCCAAGGACCCTCCCAGCACAGGCAGCAGGCAGGGTTCCTGAGCCTCCCATCCAACAAGTCCTGTCCTGGCAGCTATTGAAAACCATGCCTCAGCCCCACAGTGGCCCATTTGTTTTCCATTTTCAGAAGTTGGGTCCCATTACCTGTAGGGGAAGCTGGGTGGCTGCATTTCAGCCTTCTGCATTGATGCCTACTTGCTTTGTAGGGTTGATCTTTGTGGTTGACAGCAATGACCGGGAACGTGTGAATGAGGCCCGTGAAGAGCTCATGAGGATGCTGGCAGAAGACGAGCTCAGGGACGCTGTCTTACTAGTGTTTGCTAACAAGCAGGTATGTACCTGAGCACACCCCTCTGCGGTACAGATTCGGGGGTGGGGGGTGGGCTGTGGTCTCATTGGTGATGCAGATTAGTTTGTCCTGAGCCCGGGATGGTACTTATAGCAAATGCTTTCTCTGCATGATTTCATTTGACTCACTTAGCCATCCTATGTAATAGTTGTTGCTGTGGCATGACATTAGGCAGGTTAAAGTGGGTTCATGTAGAATGTGCAGGTTGCACGTCGTAACCAGTGGAGAGCTAGCTGGGGCTGCAGGTCCTGCTTGCTCACCCAGACTCTTACTGTGCCACCTTTTTTCCCAGGACCTTCCCAATGCCATGAACGCCGCTGAGATCACAGATAAACTGGGATTGCACTCCCTGCGCCACAGAAACTGGTACATTCAAGCCACTTGTGCCACCAGCGGAGATGGTCTTTATGAAGGACTGGACTGGTTGTCCAATCAGCTGCGAAACCAGAAATGAGCCGAGACCTGTCCTCCTCCCTCTTTGCCTCCTCTCCCTCCTCCTTCCTCTCTCCGCCCTCTGCTTTACTCTCATGTGGCAAACTGTGCGGCTCTGTGGTGTCGAGTGCCAGAAGCTGTCTCCATGGGTTTGGTCACAGTGTGTATGCACCATGCTGTAAATGTGGCAGACGCAGCCTGCAAACAGGTTTTTTATTTAATGTAAATAGTTTTTGTTTCCAATGAGGCAGTTTCTGGTACTCCTATGCAATATTACTCAGCTTTTTTATTGTAAAAAAAAAAAAGAAGAAAAATCAACTCACTGTTTAATACTGAGAAGGGATTTCCACACACTGGCCCTGGGCTCCCAGGAGTTACTCTGTTAGAAGAGCCAAGTGCCCTCCTCTTGGCCTGAGATCTGTGTTGAGATCCATTCAGGTGGTTGGTTTTTAACCTGAGCTCAGTGCATTTTTTTAAGTAGCTAAAAATAAAAGGAGAACACTTGAACACACAGAAGGGAGAAATATGCCTAGTGTAGGTTTTACAGTAACAACCTGAGTACTCGTCCATCGATAGTCTTGTGTTTCCCTTTGGGAACGTGAGAGAAGGTGACAAAAACAAACCCACGATCAATTTTGCATGGTCACAATAGAGATCCCTGTAATTACGCTTTGTCTTTGGATCATCCTGTATTTCATAGAGTTTGTGCTTGTACTTGTGCTCACACGGTTACCAAGGAAACAAGCTTTGAGGCTGTGCTTAGCGCAGGCTACCATCTGAGCACTGTGCGCCCTTGGACTCTTAGATTCCATCAGGCTGAGCCACTGGTGTTGGCCACTCAAAGGACCCATAGTGAGAACCTGTGCAGCTGGTAGCAACCTTTTGGCTCTCAGAAGAAAGCAAGGAACCACCAACCTTTTATTTTGGTCAGGTGTGTGGTGCTTTTGTGTGACCACTTACCAGAGCAGAGAGCCCCAGTTACTCCCAGCGCTTATTCAAGACACCTTAGCCAGAGCAGCAGGCTCCCAGGACGTAGGGCCTCTCTCACAGGAGCGCATGCTAGCTGGGAGCATTCCACCTAGAGCGCACAGCCCGTTGGAGCACCCCTGTCTGTACATGTGTGAAGTAGCTTTCACTCCCTCATCCTGCAAGGGTCAGATTTGCCAGCGAGAAAAGACGACCTCTACACTTTTTTTCTTTTGTATTTTGATAAACACTGAAGAAGCTGGAGCTGTTAAATTTTATCTTTGGGGGGGGAACCCTCAGAACTGGTTTATTTGGTGTCGTGGAACCTCTTATTGCTTTCAATACACAATTAGTAATCAACTGTTTTGTATACGTTTTCAGTTTTCATTTCGACAAACAAGCACTGTAATTATAGCTATTAGAATAAAATCTCTTAACTATTTCATGAGCTTTTCAGTGCTGCTACACGCCAGCTGCTCAGTCCCTGACACACTGCTCCCAGAAGGTGAACAAAACATAAAAACCTTTTTCATGATACAAATACAGACTACAGGCCTGCACCTTCCCCTTGCTCTTTATCTACATACTCCACCCTACCACAGCGGGCCCCAGGCCCTGAACCCCCTGATCTTCCTAGAGTGTTGGTTGCCACAGACAATTGTGTGCCTTTTCTCTGGATGAAAGACAGCCCATCTCTGGGTGTTGCCTCTGGTGGTGTGGCTCATTCCTCCTCCAAGACCCAGGAGCATTAATTAGCCTGTGACTGCTATGAATCACAGGTCAGAGGTCTTGCCAGCATAACCTATAGTTGCACTCCTCCTGTCTTGGACAGACAAGAGGCCTCATAGAGATCCTGGTGGCTGCTGTCCACTCCTGCTGGAGCATCCATTGCTTCAGCCACCAGCCTCATCACCCATACTGACCAACGATAGATTGAGGAAGGGCTTAAGGGGTGTCCTATGTAACTTATCTGGAAGGGAGGCAAGCCAGATCAAGGGGTACTGGCGTCCCTAGGAAATCTTGCTGCAGTTGGTGCTATGAGAATACGTGCTCCCAGCCCCATTTTACCTGGGTTCCTTTGGTAACTGCCATAGGGTCCAGAGCCCACCATGGACATGCATTGCTTTCCTAGCCTATATTCCAGGCTGTGTAGCATCCATGGTGCTGGCTCAACTCCAGATATGCTTTTAGCACTGCAGGAGACCCTGTTACCTTCCTGAGGTGGGCATGCAGAAAGTGGGTGGGTGAAGACCCACCCAGCATTGTCATGCAGCTTGATGAACCAATTTGAGATCAGGGAATATGGTGGTCCATTCCTGTCCACACCCCTACCCAAGTCCCTCTGATAATGATACTTAATGATAGACCTCAAGCTCTCAATTATGGTTTGGGCTGTGGAGTAAGTTCCCACTCATCGTAACCACACAGCGTTTCAAGGGCAGCTGGTGGATTTGAACTGCTGACCTTGTGGTTAGTAGTCCAATGCATACCCTACAGCACCACATCACATCCCTTCAACTATCAAGTGCCTTCAAGTGGGTTCTGACTCATAGCGACCCTGTATTATAGGGATTGCAAGGAGTGGCTGGTGGGTTTGAACTGCCACTTTATGGTTCAAATCACCTTGGGGTCCAGTGCTTAACCTACAGCGCTACTCCAGGACCTCCCTGTCATAAATGCCTTTGAGTCTGTTTTGACTGGTAGTGACCTTGTAGAAGGTTTCCCAGGAACAGCTATTGAGTTTAAACCTCTGACCTTGTGGGTAACAGTCCAGTGCTTATCCTACAGCACCACACCTGGACTCTCACCTATTATCAGAGCTATTGTTAAGTGCCACTGAGGCAGTTCTAACTCATAGTGGCCCTATGTGGGGTTTCCTAGGAGGGCCTGGTGAGTTTGAACCATCAACCTGGCGATCTAGGGTTCATTATACCACAATGCCACACCAGGACTCTGTTGTCAGGTGCCATCGAGTCGGAACCGACTCATAGCGACCCCATGCCCAGCAGAACGAAACAACGTCCGATCCTGGGCCAACCTCACTACCGCCGCCACACTTGACGCCATCAATGATGTCACCTGGCTGATTCATCTCGTTGGGGGTCTTCCTCTCTTTCTCTGACCCTCCACCTTACCCAGCATGACATCCTTCTCCAGCAACTGTTCTCTCCGGACATTGTATCCAAAGTATGAGAGACGAAGCCTAGCTATCTTGGCCTCCAAGGAGCACTCTAGTTGCACTTCTTCCAAAACAGATCTATTGGTCCACAAAATTGTTTAACTTCTTTTAAAATTGGAAGCAAAAACAAAATTAATCTAACCTGGATTACATGTCTTGACATCAGTTTTTGTAGATATGTGGAGGAAGGGCCTGCTGATGTTACAGTGCAGCCTGGGCGATAGGTCTCCCAGATGCAGAGCTGACCTAGGTCTTGCTTGTCCTTTGCCAACCCGTAGCTGGGAATGGGACCTAATTGGGTCCAACAGAGCAGATAGTAGGCCAAAGCAGAGGTGGGCTGAGGGCAGAGACTTATGGGTCTGTCAGGGCTTAAGAGGATATTCCCCTTGTGGGTCCTAGCTCCCACCACTGCTTACCAGGCTAGGAGAGGTTGGGTTTGGTACTCTGTCATGAGCCAACCACAGAGGTGGAGGGAACCAACACTTTAATGGGGGTAGGGATGGTCTGGAGGGGAGGGTTTGGAGGAAGGGGTGCTGCAGCAGTGAGCCCTCAGGTCCACATCTTTTCTAGCACCTGCCTGCTTGGGGCTGCTCCTCAAGGACCACCTTTCTCCATAGTAGTCAGTTACCATAGTATCTCCAGGTCCCTGTACAGTCCCTGATACATGTTTTTGTTAGGTGCCATCTAGTTGGTACAGACTCATTGCGACCCTATGTACAACAGAATGAAACACTGCCCGATTCTAGGCCAACCTCAATTGTTGCCACGCTTGATTCAGCCCATTGATGCTGACACTTTGTTAATCCATCTTGCTGGGGTCTTCCTCTTTTTCTCTGACCCTCCACCTTACCTAAGATGATAGATATCCTTCTCCAGAAACTGGTCCCTCCTGACAATATGTCCGAAGTATGAGATGAAGTTTGGCCCTCCTGGCCTCCAAGGAGCACTCTGGCTGCACTTCTTCCAACACAGATCTGTTGGTTCTTTAGGCAGTCCATGCCACTTTCAATATTCTCCAAAACCATAACTCAAAACCATCAATTCTTCTATAGTCTTCCTTATTCACTGTACAGCTTTCGCATGCATGAGGTTATTGAAAATACCATGGCTTGTGCCAGGCGTACCTTAGTCCTCAAACTGACATCTTAGCTTTTCAACATTTTAAAAAGGTCTTGTGCAGCAGATTTGCCTTATGCAATACATCGTTTGATTTCTTGACTGCTGTTTCCGTGAGTATTGATAGTTGATCCAAGAAGAATGAAGTCTTTGACAACTTCAATCTTTTCTCAATTGATAAGAATGTTGTTTATTGGCCCAGTGGGGAGGATTTTTGTTTTCTTTACATTAAGATGTAATCCATACTGAAGGCTGTGCTCTTTGATCTTCATCAGTAAATATTTTAAGTCTTCACTTTCAACAAGGTTGTATTATCTGTATATCTCAGGTTGTTAATGAGTCTTCCTCCTCCAATCCTGATGCTATATTTTTCTTCATAGAATCCAGCTTCTCAGATTATTTGCTCAGCATATGGGTTGAATAAGTAATGGTGAAAGAATACACCCTTCACACACCTTTCTTAATTTAAAACCATTCAGTGTTCCCATATTTTGTTTGAACAACTGCCTCTTGGTCCATGTACAGATTCCTCATGAGCACAATTAAGTGTTGTGGAATACCCTGACACATAGTAGGTGCTTTTTCAGCTTTTAATGAAAAAGCTGAACTCCACCCAGTTGAGTGGAGCACTCTGTGAGAGGAAGGACCTGAACTGTTCAGCAAGTTGTTCCAAGGGCCTTGGAGTAAAGGCATGGAGTTCCTTGACCACTGATAGGATGAATTAAGCCTTCATATTCATGAAAAGTTCTGTGATGCCAACCTACCCACATTGACTGCAAGGCATACTTGCTTTTAAAATAAATTTATTTTAAGTAAAAAGAACAAATCAAGGTAAAGAAAAATAGTAATCATACTGGCTACAGCAAACTCAGGGGAGGCCTGGGAGCTGCTGTGGAAGGAAGCGGGCCAGAGGAGGGATTCTGGTCTGCCAGGGCATCTAAGACAGGCCTGGGGCACCACAACAAGGTCAGACGGTGGGGGTGAGATCCCTGAGCCTCTCAGAACCCACTGGGCTGGGGACTTCCCCAGGTTCGACAGGTTCACTCACTAGGCCCTGTCCCCAAGGCCTTGGCACAACTTTCACAAAGTAAGCCTCTTCTGCCCTCCACTCACCTGGCTGATGTGAGCTGTGCCATTCCAAGGCGCTGGTTCCAGCCTTAGCCACAGAGAGGAGAGGCATTTCCCTGTGGTGGTGGTGGTAGTGGTGGAGAGTCCAGTGCTCACAGTCATTACAGCTGAGCAGTGAGGGAGCTGAAGCCTTGAGTCCCAGGGCTCAGAGCTGAAGGACCCTGGTGTGGTCAATGTAGCAGGTACATGTGGCTCAAGAATCAGAGTCTGTGTCATGCCGTCTCTGGGACTCTGGGCTCTTCCCACTGCATACACCACGTCCCCACTTCCTCCTTTTGCAGCTGGGGGAGGAGTGGTCGCTTGCAGAGGAACTAGAGTCATGTCGGCTGTGTCCATGTCTGGGAGACGACGAGGCGATAGCTAGTGAGTGGCTCCACCTGGGCCAGTATGACGACCAGGTCCACAGGCTACTCCATGCACCATGGGCATGCCAGGATGCTGCCCTCCCCAGGCCCACCCTCAAGATCTTTGCCAACAACTGGGCTTACCCAGGAGATGAGCACATGGAAGAAGCCGCCACCTCCCTCTTGTGGTGCTTTTCTTTCTTTTTCTCCTTCTTGTGTTTCTTTTTCTTCTTTTTCTTCTTCTCTTTCTTGCTTTTCTTGTGGTTCTCAGAGCTGCAAGAGGGAGCACAAAACCCCTTAGCCCGAACCCTTACTTCCAAGGCTATGTTCTGTCTGCTACGCAGGGAGTCAGTCAATAAACAGTTGTGGGTGAGATTGGGTTCCCCAGATGCGAGTCTCCACAGGGAGAAGGGCCTAACACCTATGCAAGGTACTTTTAAAAAGTCTCAAGTCCCCATGGCCAGTGACCCACACACACACATACACAGAGCATTCCACTGGGTATCCTCACCCCATCCTCTGAGCTGCCCGAGTACAGGGCTCACAAGCACCTGATACAGCCTCTCAGAAAAGGGCCTTTCACCACCATCTAGCCTCAGAGTCTGCCCAGAAAAGAGCAGAAGCTGAGCCCAGAAACCCTTTTTTGTTTTCCTTTTAATTTATCATCTTGGGAGCCCATTGAGTAGTTCCTGGACACAGAGGTCATGTCATAAGTGCCCTGGGTATGGTCCCAGAATGGTCCTCTAAATCCAGCAGAGTCAGGTGGCCACCTTGGCATGAGGGCCAGGGCTGGAGGGGAGCGAGCACTCAAGAACAGGGCCTTCTCAGCTGACCTACCTTGCATCCTTCACTCTCCACAAGCAGACAGCCAATCTGGCTCAGAATTTCCTAGGAGCTAGGGCCACTATTTACAGTCTTGGAAACCCTGTACAGGGTTGCTATGAGTCGGAACCAACTCCACGGCACACAGTAACCACCATCAGGGCCACTCTAAGGCACTCTGGTACCGTAGTGTTTATAAATCGGGCTGCTAATCTCAAGGTCAGCAGTTCAAAACTACCAGCTGTTCTGCGGGAGAAAGCTTTCTGCTCCCATAAAGATTTACAGCCTTGGAAACCCTGTACAGGGTTGCTATGAGTCAGAACTGACTCCAGAGCACATAACAACAAGGGTCATTATGGAGTCTTGGTGTAGCGTTGTGTGCTAATGCGCTGGACTGCAAAGTCATTTGAACCTCAGGGTGAGCGGTTCGAGCCCACCAGCTGCTCCTTGAAAACCCTATCCAAGATTGCTATGGGTCAGAACCAACTCGACATCACTCAACAACAGGGCCACTATGAGAGTCTTGATGCGGCACTGTGGGATAAAGCACTGGACTATAATAAGTTCTGTTTGAACCACAAGGTTAGCAGTTCAAACCCAGCAGCTGCACCTTAAAAACCCTGTAAAGGGTTGCTATGAATCAGAACCAACTCCAGCACTTAACAAGGGTTGCTATGAGTCAGAACTGGCTCTAAAGCACCAGACAACAGTGTGCAAAGAGAAACTTCAATTCTGTGATTCTCAAACTTTCCCTGCCATAGAGACCCTGGGGTGTGCCTTAAGTGGTCTGGCCCCAAGCAGGCAAATTCTATCTTAAAACAGCCCAAAGTAAGTGAGCGCCTGAGGGCCTTACCACAGCTCTGCTTTCTCTTCAGAGTGCAGCTTCTTTCTGGCGGAAGCTGGGGAGGTCCCTGCCCCACTGCTCTCCACACGGTGATGCTGCCAAGGGAAGCCAAGGTCACCCTCGGTGAGGGATCCTGGACAACCCTGAGAAGTTTCCAGGCCATCCAACCCGCGTTCCCTGAGTCAGGAGGCTGGAAGCATCCTCCACAGAGGAAAGGACCCTGCCTGAGGCTCACAACAAAGGGGAACCCAGGCACCTCCCGCCTCTTGCCACCATGAGCTCCCTGTATGTTCTGGAGGAGGGGTCATTACTGTGAACACCGACAGCCCCAGCTTGGCAGCCTCCTTGTCTTCTCTGGACAGCACCACTCGGCCTGCGGAGCCACTGTAGGAACACACACGGGGAGACTATGTCCACAGGAAGAGGACCACGCCACACCCAATCAGGAATCCGTGCAGCCCTGTCCCTAACAGTGCCCACGGAGGAGTCCCACCCTAGCTTCTCTGGGGCTTGGGGAGCTGGAGCTGTGACATCAGGTCCTTAATCTGCCAGCCCCAGTCCTGGTTAGACCTCGTCCCCAGCAGAGTCCCAAACAATTCACCACCACTCCTGCCCCCGCACCTGGAGCTCCCGAGCCCCAGGAGTCTGTCCACACCCTTGTCTTCCGGGTCAGCTCCTTCCCGCTTACAAACCTCCACAAAATCCTGTGAGGAAAGGAGGGCAAGTTTCTCAGGCAGGCCCCAGAGCCGCCTCCCACCCCACCCAGGCCACCCTGCCGGGTCCGATCCGACTCCGTCCAACACCACCCACCCAGAGCTTCTCGGCGGTTACCTCCTTGCTTAGGCCTGTAGGCTGTTTCTTCACATTCTTGTAGCCTCTGCAACGAGCCAAGGCAGGCTTCAGGAAGGGCCGACCCTCCATCCCCACTCACCCCCGATCTCCCAGCCCTCGGGACACATCGGCCCCTAGCTTCGCGAGGACACTCACAGGGCTGCCATGAGGGCCTCCTGCTCAGCCTGCCGCACCGCAGCCAGCTCCTCCTCCCGGCTCAGCCCCACGGGGCCCACGCGGTCCTTAGCGTACCAGGTGAGGTCTCGGCCTTTCTGCCACCGGCCCACCGGGGCCATCAGCGAATTACCCAGGTAATTCTCCCTTTGCTTGTCGGTTTTCACGTCCTCCCAGTTAAACTGGTCCTGTCCGCCGCGGACGCCGCCTCGGCTGGAACCGAACATGGTGCCGGCGGGTGCTGCGGAGAACAGAAAGACCTAGAAGTTCAAGCTCCGCTACAGGCCCACCAAGCCCCAAGCTGAGAGAGTCGGCCCAAACGCTGAAGCCTCAGACTGCGCCCAATCCGCCACCCAGCGACCCTCCTCCGCCTGTTCTCACTGGCAGCCTCCGCTGCTCCCGCGTACAGCCAGCCTCGCGTCGTACGGAGTGACGTCACTCGCAATGGGACGCTTCCCCAGCATTCCGCACCACCGCCCTCTCCTCTCGCGCCGTGCACTGTGACGCATTTTGCGCTAAGTCCCGCCCCCCCCGCTCCAAGTCGCTTGCTGCGTGGTCTTATGTGCCTTTGGCGCCAGTCCTTCAGTCTTCTGGGTTGCTTGAGACCACTGAGCGCTTAACCATTGTCACTAAGGCTCCAATGATAAGACCCCCAAAAATAGAATGTACCCCAGAAAGCTCACCCCGGGTCTGCCCCTGCCCCAAATATCCTGAGTGGGTTCAAATAACAAGAACTGACAAGTTTCAAAGGCTATATGTCCCAAACAATATCCAATTGTAGCTGCATGCTCAAACCCAATGTAACAAGATGTAGATAAACCACGAGTGTCAGTCAGTTCCCAGAATATGCCCAGACAGCCTTGGAAAACAAACACCAGGTGCCAGATTCCAGAGACGTGTTGTGTTCCTTCATTCCAAGATAATAACCTTGCTTTTTGCTTCTGTACCCGGTTTGCTCCCCTTCCCCTGAAGTTTTAGCCTTTTAAGCTGCCCCCAACGGACAGTTCGGGGCTGCAAACCTTAGCGAGCTTGCTTTTAGCCTGTTTGCAGACGCTTATCAGCAATAAAGACTCTTCGTTTCCTACTCTATGTCTCTGGTGCGGTCTCTCCAATCTCGCTCTCCAATTCTCAGGTCTAACACCATAAAGATTAGTGGTGGTGGTTGTGTGACATCAAGTTGGTTTGGACTCATAGGGACCATGTACGGAAGCAGAAAGCCTCATTTTTCTCTCGCAGATTCGAACTACTGATTTATTGCTAACCAGCAGCCCAAATATGTAATCCACTACGCCACCAGGGGTCCTCCATAAATATTACTGCCCAAAAAATCCTGTGGAGCAGTTTCATTGGGGTACCATTCAACTTAATGGACAGCTAACCACAACAAAATTACGTTTCAGAGTAGGATCCTTAAACCTCCAAAATGACAGTGATTTAAGTTTTTTGAAGGTGAAAACAGAGAAGGTACTTGTAGGAATGTAAATTGCTGTGGAGAGTCAAAGCCAAGAGAAGCAAATTTCTAATCTCTTGGGCAATTCATCTTGGAAGAAAAACCATCATGCTAGTCAAAGGAGTCCTGGTGTGGCGCTGGAGGATATACACACTGGACTGCTAACCACAAAGTTGGCAATTCAAACGCACCAGTGGCTCTCAGAAACCCTATACAGGATCACTATAAGTCAGAGCCAACTCTAAGGCACTTAACAAGTCAAAGGAAGAAATAATTTGGAGCTTCCTGATTGTTGGTTCGAAAACAAGCATTTATGTTTTCAAAAATATAAACAAATGGCTTGGAAGAAAAAAAGGCAAATTAGGATATATGAATTGTGCAACAGTTGAGCATTTCAGAGTGATGGTAGAAAGCATGTTTGAAGGCCTCAATAGCTTACTGTCCTAATAACTCTTAAATGGTGGTACACCATAAACTCCGGCAAACAAAGAGTTCAGAACTATGATGCTTCTAAAACCCATGCTAAAAGTTTAAGATTTGTAAAATAATTTATTCAATTCCCAGTTTAGTGTATAAACTAAATAAGATACTGATTCTACCATGAAAAATATATGATTTAGTAAAACATAAAAGGCCTTACCTGACACGGAGGGGCAATAAAATCACAAGAGAATCAGAGAGGTCAACTGTTCAGTATGGCAAGAATAATAGACCCTATCACAAAAATTAAGATGGAGGTAACTAAGGATATCATACAAGAGAATAGCAAACCTTGCACCTGAACAACCAGGTACCTTGAGATTTTGCTCGGGTGCCTGAGTCAGCCAGCACCTGCACCAGCCTGCTTTATCTGGTGCTTTAAAAGAACTCGCGTCCATCACAGTGGATATGTTTTCAGTACAATATTGTTTGTCATAAGTTACTGTGGCTTCAACAATAACTATTCAAAATCAAACTTTTATTCTGATGGAACATGCTGAGAAGAAAATCTGGAGAAACTAAAAAATGTTCCAAAAAGTTTCATTTGGCACTATAATATCATTAATTACAATTGTCAATAATGGGAGTAAAATAATCATTTAAAAAATTTTACCACCTTCAATTTACCACCATAGTTTAACAGTGGATCACATAATATGAGATTTAATGATAATAAATTTACTTAGTGGATTAGGATGCTTTACTATTTGCCAAATTATGGTTGAATTAAATTTATAGGTTTCCTACAGATACAAAAGCATTTATCTGCAAAATCAGTTGTTTTTATAAAACTTATGTCATATTTTATTTTTAAATAATGTGTGTGCCGCACATCCTTGCCATCAGTAAGTGTAAAGCACACTATGTACCAACACAGACACAGACATCCCATGCACATCATCATATAAGCATGACCTACCCTCACCAGCCATTAAACATTTGCAAGTTGAGTCCACCTATCATTATGCCAATTAATCAGTAATTTGATGAGCTCAAATAAGCAATTAATGACATCACAGGCAAAATAAGGAGGCACCAAAGGAGTCCTGGTGAGGAGCTGTGGAATAGGACCACAAGGTCAGTTTGAACTGAAAGGTCAGCGGTTCAAACTCACCAGCTTCTCCTCAGAAACCCTATACAGGGTCGCGATGAGTCGGAACAACAGACAGCCTAGGGAGGGGAGCGTACTATCAGGAGAGGCTACAAGATTCTTTTGCCCTGGTCCAAGCTTCCCTTCTGAATCTACATGGCTCTCGTCCTACTTCTCTGGTCCCATCTTCAACTCCCTCACTTGCCCTTTAATTTGGTGGTCCCCCAACATAACACAGTGGGAGTCAGACATCTTGAGTGTCTGCGAAGTCATCTTTGGCCTATTTCTTCATGTGTGTCCCAAAAAAGGCAAACGCTACCCTAGGCTGTTATCCCAACATGCCCTGTCCCTGTGTGGTCCTGACCATTCTCAAAGCATCAGACAAGATCCCTGCAGCTCCAGACCTGCCCCAGGACCTCTGTCTTCAACACAGTAGTCTAAGACCACAATCCTGCCCTTTCTCCAGTGCTTCCAGCTCACCAGTATCACCACCTGCCAGTGTGGAAATCTTGACTCTCTCTCCTGGTTTACCTACTGTCACCCCCTCAAGAGATTCCCGTGAAGCTCATTTGGACCTGGTCACATTCTTCTGAACCTATGGAACTAACCTATGCCATCAGATGTCAAAGCAGTAAGTGGCCTTAGGGTCATGGAGGCAAGGGGAGGGCAGGAGGGTTTGGGGTGCCACCGTGTAATGGCTCTATTCACTGTGAAATAGACTGATGGAGTTAACACGCATGATTGGTCCACTTTTCTTGCTCCAATATATTCGTTGGGTTTTTTTGTTGTTTTGTTTTTAGGTGCCATCAAGTCAGTACAGACTCATAGTGACCCTATACATAACAGGATGAAACACTGCCTGTTCCTGTGCCAACCTCACAATCATTGCTACACTTAAGGCCATGCCTGCTGCCACTGTGCCAATCCATCTCATTGGGGGTCTTCCTCTTTTTTGCTGACTCTCCAGTTTTCTTTTAAATGTAAATATACTTTTCTATACTCTCCCTAGTAGCATAGTGGGTTACAAGTTGGGCTATTAACTGCAAGGCTAGCGGTTCAAATCTACCAGTTGTTCTGTGGGAGAAAGATGAGACTTTCTGCTTTCCATTAATTTTTTTTTTTTTTTTAATCTCCTCTAGTCGATTTCTGATTATCAAGCCATTGATGCCATGTCAAATGGGTATTATCTGCAAGTTTGGATGTTCTTGTGCATCTCTTCTCACTTCATATCAGCTGGACGCTTCACTCTCAGCTATAGCCCTCTGTGCCTATATTCTTGTCCATAGGTTCACGTGTCCCCAGGTCTCACCACACTTTGGACCAACCAGCCCTTCCTGTTTTCTCTCTCATCTCCAGAGTCTATGGAACGTGGTTGAACTCAGCGCATTTCTTCATTGCTGCCTTTCCCTCTCTCCCATTCACCAGTCGACCAACGTGGGCACCAGCAAGCTTACATACCTGCTCATGTGTTCCCTTTGAGTTTCAGTCTTAGAGGGGGGTTTGTCCTGAAGGAACCTGATTGCTTGCCTTGATGGCTTCCCAGCGAGTAACTTGCTTCTTCTTGTAGTAGCCAATCATGCTGCCATTTTTGTTTTGGGTTTTCCCTGATGATCTTTCTTTGAAGATGTATCTTTTGTCGCTCTAGCTGTTCCAGGCTGGTCTGCTTGTCCTTGCTAGTGAGAATGTCCCACCTCAGAAGGTTCTGGATATGGCTCAGGATTCCACCTAAGGTCCTATAGACTGCAAAGGCTCCGTAGGAGGCCTATTTCACTGGGCAAGTTCTAGAACCCATTGTAGGTATTCCAATCAGTTACAGGCTGAAGCTGGACTTAAAAGCTTTCTGTAATCATGTTTCCTGACATTTCTTTCTATCCAACTCAAATGTCCATTTTACAATAGTAGGCAAGGGAACCAATATACATAAGACAGTCAAGCATCTTAGTATCATTTCCCCCCTTCAAATTATGTGTTGATCCCTGTATCACAAAGCTCTGTTGTTCCAAGTTTCAGCATATATCACTACTTACCTGTCCCATTTAGCCCATGTAAACCTGTCTCAGTGTTCTCCTATCTACCTTGTTATTCCACCATTCCCCCTTCTTGTGTACTGCCCTCCACAACAACTGAACTATGATGTGTCTGCCCCCTACCCTGTGCTCTACTGTCGCCTCCCTCCACCTCCCCCAAACCACCCCTCCCTAACTCCACCGGTAACCAATAAAGAAAATTTTTTTTTTCATTTTAGTATGGGTATCTTTTCTTAAGCTTTTACAATAATGGTCTTAAATGCAATATTTGTTCTTTGGTGACTGATTAATTTCATTCAGCATAATGTCCTCAAGGTTCATCCATATTATGTGGTGGCTTGCAGCTTCCTTGTTATTCTCAAGGTAGTGTAATATTCCATTGTGTG